AAGAATTTATATTCCTTACAAAATATCAGCCTTGGGGTATTTTTAAAATACTCTAAAAAATTGGCAAATTTCAGCTTCGATATTCTTATAAAACATATTCTTATAAAAGAATAGTGTAGTATCCTTCTGACTTTTTTAGTTTTAAGACCCTTAAAAACCCCTTTTTATTACTTGATGCTACGATCATGGTATCAAAAAACTGTCCAATCATTGGTAAACACGTTATCATTTTCGTGACACATTAAGTTACCATAGCAACAGTACGACCTGCTAAAAACACCCTTAATTACGGCTTTAAGGGCTTACAATTCAAAAACGGCAGGGTGAAATTTCTTTATATTATCAAATTTTAATAAGCATGATAAGACGCAACTTTTGGCAAAGTTTTAAAAAAATCTGTTCAAAGCGTTCAGAGCTACCTTAAAGTTTTGAAAATTTGAGGTACACTGTAACCCTATGTTCAGATCCATATCATTAGCAGTCCTCCGATTGTCCGAGACGCCCTTTATAATGTGCAGAAAAGTGTAAAAATTAGAAAACGAGTACTCGTCTTTTGGACGAGTTCAAAATTACATTTTCGATGTACCTGTGTTTTGACTTGCCAGCCAATTTGCACCAAAAATAGCAACATTTCAACTTTCTTTGTAGTTTTGCCTCTTTGTTACTTTCAGATGTCATATACACCTTATTCCAAAATGGCAGCCAGTTTATTATTCTTTTGTTTACATGGTAACTAGCCCTCTTTGCCTCGTCAACATGTACAAAATACAAAAGAATTTTGACGTGAAAATGAGGCAAAGAGGGCTAATTAACATGCAAACAAAAGAATAATAAATTGCTCGCCATTTTGGAATAAAGTGTATGGGATGTTGCGGCTTCTCCAACATATGGTGATTGAAGGCACAGTTTTCATGTTATCGACTGCTGCCCTGAGGCAAATGACAAAAAAATGTTTTACGATAACTGCAGATTGAAATTTTCAAGCACTCATTGGCTAATTTTATTTTGTTGTTAATAAGCGGACAGACTCATGAATTTATAATTTATTTGATGTGTCAATGAGCGAGAGCGGACAATTTGACAATATGTTACTGTAGAAAACAAATTGATGTTAGTGTTTCATGCATCTGTCCCATTATTGACCAAGAAGTTTGTCATAACATTGTCAAAGTAGTCTGCG